CCGGGGGGGGGGGGGGGGGGGGGGAGTGGGTACCTCCTTCCCGGGAGTTTTGAGCCTTTCCCAGTATATCAGTTTCCTGAAACAAATGACCACAGACCTAGTAGCTTAAAACAACACACATTTATTCTTACAGTTCGGTGGTCAGAATTCTAAAATAGTCTGACTGGGTGAGTCAAGGTGTCGGCAGGGCTGGTTCCTTCCGAGGGGAATCCATTTCCCTGCCTTTTCTAGCTCTGGAGGCCGCCTGCATCCCTTGGCTTGTGACCCCTTCCTGGCATGGACAGCTCCTTGCTCCGTCACCGTACCCCCTACTTGCTCTCTGACCTGCTTCCTCTCATACGATCCCTGGGATCACAGCAGGCCCACCTGGACCATCAGGGTAACCGCCTTGTCTGAGGGCCCTAACGTATGACATCTGTCAAGTCTTTTTGCCGTAAGAGGCACAGGTTCCTGGGATGAGAACACGGACACCTTGGGGGCCGCTATTCAGCCCCCTACAGCTAGGCTGCCAGGCCCTCCTGGCGCTTCATGACCGGGAGAAAAAGGGCTGGGCTTCTCTGCTCTGGGTTTAGCAGGGCCCTTCCTAACCTTGTATTTCTAGGGTCTAGGCTTTCCAACCCTCTCCTTCCACTCAGAGAAGCTCACGCAATGTGTCCTTGGAAGTCAGGTGCCAAGTGTAAATCTAACGCTGGTGAGAGGTGCAGGGCCATCCAAGAAGCTCCGTAGGCCCGAGGGCACCTGCCTGAAGCCACACCCTGCTGGCTGCAGCAAGCCCATGACCGGGAAGAGACAGGGGCGGGTCTGGGGCCTGCCGAGGGTGCCAGGAAGACCACGGGGTGGGTGAGCCCTGCTAGGCCCGCGACGGTCGGCCAGAGCTGAGCTGTGGCTGCAGTGCCGCGGGGGTCAGAGGAAGAAGCTGGGGCTGTGGTCCTGGCTCGGAGATGACGGAGACCATCGCTGGGAGAGGCTCTGGGTTGGTGAGAGCATCTCTGGCCCATAGCATCTGGGGTGAGGACGGTGGCCTTGCAGACAAGTGCAGCTCCCAAGTCCCAGGCGTCAGGCTTTTCTTTGTGACGAGAGCAGGTGGGCAGGGTGGGCAGGGGCAGGGCGGAAGGCAGGGAGCCCCTCTTGCTACCTCTTCTCCATGCTCTGCATCTGCAGGCTGAGGGAGGTGAAGCTGGCCAGGAGGTCGGTCACCTCATCCACCTGCGGGACAAAAGGGCGGCTCTGGCACGGGATTCCAAGACCAGCCTCGGTGCCAGGCCCCAGGCCTCCTTCCCAATACCACAGGCCGGGGCAGGCATTGTCTCTCCTGCCAAGGCATGTGGTGGCTTCACTGTGACTGTGGACAGCTGTCCAAGGGTCAGTCCTTGACAGCAGGTGGCCTCAGACCCAGAGAGAAGGGCCACCAGCAGCTTCAGAGGAAGTGGGCAGAGGCTTGAGGTCACAGTGGGCTGCAGCCCACAGCCACGGCCTCTTCTGCGATGAGGGTCTGGCTGCTCAGGATGGACTGGCCCTGTGGCTTCTGCCAGACCCGGGGCCCGGAGCTGCGGCCACGGCTCACCTGCTCTCTGGTGCTCGTCATCTGGAGGCGGGTACACAGGTCGTCCAGCCGTTCCCGCTGCTCGTGCCGCCCCAGGCGCTCCAGGTACTCCCTCAGCATCTGGATGATCTGAAACGAGAGGGCGGGCTGGGCTGTGGGGTCCCAGCTCGGAGGCACAGAGAGGCCTGATGCTGCAGCCAAGAGGCACAGTGGAGCCCTGGCGCTGGAGGCGGGGTGTCTGGTGAGGGCAGCACCTGTCCTCCGCTGGCTGTGTGCCATGGCGCAGCATGAGAGGGGCACTCACCTGCTTCACCTCCAGCCGCACGGCTTCCAGGCACTGGGAGTGGCCTTCCTGCAGGATGCTCAGCTTCGACTTGGCCAGGTGCAGGGGCGTGCGGCCAGCTCGGTCCAGGGCATCTACCCGGGCCCCTGTGGGAGCAGGCAGAGGTGAGCACACTGGGGGTGAGGGTGCGAGAGGAGGGAGAAGGGGAAGGCGCCACATACCTCCTCGTAGCAGCGTGGTGATGACAGGGACGTGGTTGGTGCAGGCCGCTGAGGAAGAACAGGGGCTTGAGTGCAGGACCACCAGGGCCTGGCCCTGTGTGCCTGCTGGAGGGAGCATGCCTCCTGGAAGGCATCACCAAAGCAGCAACTCGGTGGGACTCAGCAATCAAGTCCGGCTCCCTCCCTGTGCCATGGGGACAGAGGCTTGGAGCTGGTACTGGCCTGTTAGCCGTGGAGTGAATCAGCCACAGGGCAGGAACCAGCTGCAGGTCTCACCGCCCCGAGCAGAGCTGCTGCTGAGCCAATTTCAGTGCTTAAATCAGCTAAGCTCAGGGCACAGCCAGCTAGTGACTGACAGGGCAGTCCATGGCACAGACACTGGAAGCTAAGGCTCTTCCTAGATGCTAGGAGATCCCGCTGGGAGCCTGCAGGACTCCAGGCTCTTCATCAAAGGAGCCTCTCTGTGCCACAGAGTAGGGTGTCTTGGCAGCTCTTCAGGCACTTACCCAGGTGCAGTGGCGTGTTCCCCAGCCCATCCCGCTGGTTGGGATCGGCCCCATGGTCCAGGAGCAGCTGCACTGGAAATGGGAAAACCCAAGAGGAGCTGTCAGAGGCTCCTATGGACTGGACCCTAACGCCCAGCCCTAACCTAGCTGCAGAGGCTCACTCAAAGTGTGGATACGGAAACTAAACATGGTCCCTTATGTTGTTTCATTCATTCGCTCACTCGCTCACAGAGTTCATGTGCAGGACACCGAGGGCCAGGAACTGAGCATTCTGGGAGGGCCTCCTGCCCTATGCAGTGTTACAGGACTAAGATTTGGGGGGGGGGATTTTTTTTCTTTTTTATTGAATTTATTGGGGTGACATTGGTTAATAGAATTATACAGGTTTCTTGAGTACAATTCTCTAATACATCAACTGTATATGGTATTGTGTGTTCACCACAAGGCAGTCTTCCATCACCATTTATCACCCCTTTACCCTCTCCTCCGCCCCCCCCCACCCCTTTCCCTCTTGTAATCACCATACTGCTGTCTATGTGTGGCTTCTTTATATCCTTAGTTGTAGGACTTCTGTTCATCTAGATTCTGGGTGGTTCTGAACGATGGCTGTTCTGTAGTTTACTTGTATTTTTGATGTGGTTGTGCGCGGACGTGAGATCGCTTTTACCTACGTTGTCATCTTGACTAGAAGCCATGCTTTCAGTTTTTATTTCCCTAGTGATTAATGATGTTTAATATATTTTTTATGTTTTTTGATGATTTATTTATCTTTTGTGACGTGCCTGCTCAAATCTTAATCCAGTTGGTGATTACACCAGTGAAGACATATAGAAAGTTCGGTTTATACGTTACACCACACCCCAAAGAGACTCCTAAATAAAAGGGCTGTCCCGCTGCAGGTCTTGGCACGGAGTAAGTGTGGCCTGACGTCTTGAAGGACTGGCCCCAACCTCGGAGGCAATCCTAGTCTTTTCCCAGGTGAACCCCTTCCCCAGTCTCTCAGTGCCAGATCCACAGGCTCGGAGAGGAGCGGGCACCACCCGGGCTGTGCAGACAGGTCTTCCCCAGCTCCTCCGGAGAGATGCTATTTCTGCTCCCACCTCCCCCTCTAGGACTCACCGATCTGGTCATTGCCATTGCAGGAGGCGAAGTGGAGAGCCGTGCGGCCCTTGTCATCCGCTGCACAGGGATCTGCACCATCTTCCAGCAGCTGCTGCACTGGGACCACCAAGACAGAGGGGGCGGGGGAGTGACCGTGTCAGCTAAGCTGCAGTCCCAGGGGATGGAGGGATGCTCAGGGGCCCTTCCAGGCAAGGCACTGATCATGCCTGGGAGAGCTTGTCCCTCCTGGGTGCTTGCCCACGGGGACTACCATCCAGGACTTGTTCCCCTGAGGGCACAACGGATGGCCAGACTCTGGGTGCTCACACTACTTGTCTAGGGAGAGGACATCGTAGAAGAAATTCTAGAGCCACAGAAATGCCCAGTCCCATGCCACTACCTGAATTGAGATGCACACCTACTCCAGCTGGACACGGCTGCCCCAGCTGTTGTTTGAGGCTTGCTTTGCTCCCAGGAGGCAGCCCCTTAGAGTGGACAGAGCAGAGGTTCTGGAGCCACGCAGACTAAATCCCAGGCTAAGCTAAGCTAAAGAGAAAGGAAGACACTGCCAATAGCATGGGCAGTGAAAGAGCTGGGCTGGGAGCGAGAAGACCCAGATCTGGGCTCTAATTCACCACCAAATGGGAGTGATCTCTGCCCTGCCAAACTCCAGAGCTGCTGTGATGAGAATAATGGATGTGACATTCCTTCTTCGAAAAGCATGGGGCCATTTTAAAATGTGAGGCATTAGGTATTACATGTCCAACTAAAATGTAGAAATTGCTGCCAGACGTGATTTTAGGGCAAGCAACATTTTCGTCTGCCTCAGCAAACCTCTCAAGGACTTGAGTCCTTCCAGACAAAGCCCAGGTATCCCCTCCTCCATGAGTCCTCCTGTCTCCTCAAGCTGAGTTAGCCAGTCCCTGTCCTGCGGCTCTAATATTAACCTGCTGTTTTAGAGCAACCGCTACTGTACACTGAGCCCCAGCCTGGTGTCAGGTGTCTGACTGCTAAGCCCCTGGGCCCCCCAGCAAGGTCTCACGTCCATTTGACAGACCAGGAGGCTCCAGCACAGAGGACGCGTGTTCAGGAGGCCACGCTGGGATGTAAACCCAGGCTTCTCTGGCTCCAGAACTAACTCCTCCCCAGCTGAATACCTAACTTCGGTTTTTGGGGGAGTTTTATCTTAGAAAGGGTATTGCTTTAATATTCTTCTGCTCCAACTATGTTGTAGGGGTTTTGTTTTGTTTATCTTAATGCCTTAACATTACTTACCTTGTTCAATGAATGTTGCTGGCTGAGTGAATAGTGAATGAAGGAAAAGGTTTGGGAGAGTGGAGGAGAAATAAGAGCTTCAGGCTACCTTAGTGTTCATCAGTGCAATCACCAAAAGACAGCCAGTATCATAGAGACAGAAAGCTAAAGTATCCCATCTATTTTGTCATGTGTGCAGTTATAGTCTTTGGAAAGCATTTTAGCAACATCTATCAGAAGCCATCAAAACAGGCATACTCTTTGATGTAATAATCCCATACCTGGGAAATTATCTTAGAAATGAAATATCAATGTGCAAATATATGACGAAATTACTCTTTTTTTTGCCCTCCTTTCTTTTGTTAATCCTCAACCAAGGATTTTTTTAAAATATATTTTTATTGATTTCAGAGAGGAAAGGAGAGTGAGAGAGATTGAAACATTAATAATGAGAGAGAATCATTGATCGGCTGCCTCCTGCATGCCCCCTACTGGGGATTGAGCCTGCAACCAGGGCATGTGCCCTGACCAGGAATCGAACCATGTAACCTCCTGGTTCTTAGGTCCACACTCAACCACTGAGCTATGCCTGGCCAGACCGAGGATATTTTTCCATTATTTTTAGAGAGAGTGAAAGGGAGGGGGTGGGGGAGAGAGAGAAACATCGATATGAGAGAGACACATCGATAGGTTTCTCCTGCACGTGCCCCAACCTGGGATGGAGATTGACCTTGCAACCGAGGTACGTGCCCTTGACCGGAATTGAATGCAGGACCCTTCAGTCTGCAGGCTGACACTCTATCCCTGAGCCAAACTGGTTAAGGTGTTTTTGCCCCTTTAAAGGCATAGTGTGCATCCATTAAATATTGTGATTATGACTGGGGAATGGAATTATAAAATGTTTTTTGCTCTTTATAAGCTTTAGAAATATCACTTAGTCATACATTCATTTTATAAATAGGAATAAATGATTCTTCCATTTTGAAAAACAAATGGTTACAAGGACTATGAAAAATGTTTATGATATACAAAAATTGTGTATACAGCACAGTGTGCAAGCCCATGAAGAAAATTCCTCTGTGTAGGAAGAAGAACCGGAAGGATGGTCACCAAAACATGAACAAAGATTAGTTCCTCTCCTAACATTATGGATGTTTTGCTTGTATAGTTCTCTAATTTCCAAAACATGTTAAGTGCATATATTATTTCTATATTTAAAATATTTTAAATGATTATGAACTCACAGAAAAGCACTTATGATTTAACAATAGCAAGGGATAAATTTTGTGCCCACTGTAATTGCTAAATTATACAAAAAAACCCCACAATAATAAATATGCAGAGAAAGAAAGAAAAATGCTAATCCTACAGCCAGTTTTGCCATCAGAGTCCTGCTAGAGCCTGGTAAACCTGAGAGCCATTTAGCTGTGAAGATGGGTGTGTGAGAGGCTCTGAATGGACAATTGCATCCTATCTCTCAAAATAATAAAACCACCACACAAACACCTGAGTCAAGGTGAACCAGACTTGGTGCGCTCTCCCTCCCAGGAGCACACCCTCCCCCAGGCGTGTTTCCTTCACCCTTCTCTCTCCTAAGCCCCAAGGGCCCCTTCTGTTGCCTCCGTAACTTGTTTCCTGAGACCATTTCTTCTACCGCTCACTTTTTCTACCTTTGTGACTTTCTAAATAAGCTTTCTCTTATAGTTTGAAAAAAAAAAAGATGAACTAGACTTTCTGTGGGAGGAAAGCATAATTAAAATACTGTCTGGTCACACACTAGAGATATTAAAAAGAAAACTCTTGTCATTTTTCCTTGAAAAGCTATCCAGGTTATTGCCCAAATATTCCAAAATATTCAAGTTTGTGGAAAAGAGAGCAAATTGAAGAGAGGTGAAAAGCGCTCCGGTTTCCAGGCCTGCTCACTATGCTGTGCCAGGGACAAGGGCACCATTTCCAGGCCGCAGTGCAGCACCGCAGCTCCCGAGGTCAACGACCTCCTCTCCATGCCTGCTGGACACGGGCTTTCCTGCCCTCGGCCCTTGATCTATGCTCACACTCCATCTGTTGGCCACAGGATCCCACCACCAAAACAAATGATGTCCACAAGAGGCAGGCAAGGATCCGCTCCCAAATACGCCACGCCCCAGTCCCCGGAGTTTATCGATATGTTACTTTACACACCAAAAAGGGACTTTGCAGAGGTGATTAAGGTTAGGGACCTTGAGCTAGGAACATTATCCTGGATTATTCAGGCACAATTTTATCCTGAGTCCTTGAAATCAGAGAACCTTTCCCTGCTGAGAGATCCATAGAGACGGCAGTGCGAGGACTCAGCCCGCTATTGCTGAATCCTGAAGCTGGAAAAGGCAGGGAAACAGACTCTCACCCAGAGCCTCCAGGAGGAAACACAGCCCTGCAGACACCCTGCTTTCAGCCCGTGAGACCTGTGTTGGACCCTGACCCACGGAACTGTATGATAACACATCTGTGTTGATTTATACACCACTATGTTTGCGGTAATTTGTTACAGCAGCCGTAGGAACGGAAGGACCACTTTCCCCTGATTCACAGAAAGAATTAAATCAGTGGATAAAATTAACTTTTTTCCTCTAACTTGCCCTTGAACCTTTGATATTGCTACTGCCCTGTCAGCTGGTGAAAGCTAGAGAGCAATGACAAGACAACCAGAGTGGTGTCCTGCTAGGAGCCCCTCCCATGCCTTCCAGATGTTCTGCCAAAAATCAAGTTTGAGAACCACTGACCCAACTACCACAAAGCCTCAGTGTGCAGTGGAAGGTGGTTGCTCTGTGCAGATGGTGGCTCTCCTGGCAGCTAAAACTGACTGTTCGTTCCCCAAAGTTCCTAACCTGCTGGGTGTCAGGGATACAAAAGCAGATGTGTCCCCACCATCAAGGAGCCCTCAGGGCGGTAAACACTAAGACATCAGGAAGTTCATGGTGACGGGGAAGCATGGGGAGAGTGAGCACCTACGCAGACACATCTTCTGCCAAATGACTGCAGCTTTACAATAACTACAGTGAGCAGGCTCCACAGGGTGAGCTGAATGGATTCAAGCACCGTCTTCCCAGGTGGTGGTTACCTGGATTTTCCTTCCCTAACGAGCCCACGGAGCTGAATACACTTTGCACACTCACCTGTTTCCACATCGTTGGCATTGGCCGAGTCCCTCAGCCTCTTCAGAGCTGTGACGAGAGTAAGAGAGTACCAGTTAATATATATTTATATATATATATATATATAAAACAGCAGCCGCCACAATGAAGCAGAAAGTGCACAGCTCCTGCATGCCCCCTACTGGGGATTGAGCCTGCAACCAGGGCATGTGCCCTGACCAGGAATCGAACCATGTAACCTCCTGGTTCTTAGGTCCACACTCAACCACTGAGCTATGCCTGGCCAGACCGAGGATATTTTTCCATTATTTTTAGAGAGAGTGAAAGGGAGGGGGTGGGGGAGAGAGAGAAACATCGATATGAGAGAGACACATCGATAGGTTTCTCCTGCACGTGCCCCAACCTGGGATGGAGATTGACCTTGCAACCGAGGTACGTGCCCTTGACCGGAATTGAATGCAGGACCCTTCAGTCTGCAGGCTGACACTCTATCCCTGAGCCAAACTGGTTAAGGTGTTTTTGCCCCTTTAAAGGCATAGTGTGCATCCATTAAATATTGTGATTATGACTGGGGAATGGAATTATAAAATGTTTTTTGCTCTTTATAAGCTTTAGAAATATCACTTAGTCATACATTCATTTTATAAATAGGAATAAATGATTCTTCCATTTTGAAAAACAAATGGTTACAAGGACTATGAAAAATGTTTATGATATACAAAAATTGTGTATACAGCACAGTGTGCAAGCCCATGAAGAAAATTCCTCTGTGTAGGAAGAAGAACCGGAAGGATGGTCACCAAAACATGAACAAAGATTAGTTCCTCTCCTAACATTATGGATGTTTTGCTTGTATAGTTCTCTAATTTCCAAAACATGTTAAGTGCATATATTATTTCTATATTTAAAATATTTTAAATGATTATGAACTCACAGAAAAGCACTTATGATTTAACAATAGCAAGGGATAAATTTTGTGCCCACTGTAATTGCTAAATTATACAAAAAAACCCCACAATAATAAATATGCAGAGAAAGAAAGAAAAATGCTAATCCTACAGCCAGTTTTGCCATCAGAGTCCTGCTAGAGCCTGGTAAACCTGAGAGCCATTTAGCTGTGAAGATGGGTGTGTGAGAGGCTCTGAATGGACAATTGCATCCTATCTCTCAAAATAATAAAACCACCACACAAACACCTGAGTCAAGGTGAACCAGACTTGGTGCGCTCTCCCTCCCAGGAGCACACCCTCCCCCAGGCGTGTTTCCTTCACCCTTCTCTCTCCTAAGCCCCAAGGGCCCCTTCTGTTGCCTCCGTAACTTGTTTCCTGAGCCCATTTCTTCTACCGCTCACTTTTTCTACCTTTGTGACTTTCTAAATAAGCTTTCTCTTATAGTTTGAAAAAAAAAAAGATGAACTAGACTTTCTGTGGGAGGAAAGCATAATTAAAATACTGTCTGGTCACACACTAGAGATATTAAAAAGAAAACTCTTGTCATTTTTCCTTGAAAAGCTATCCAGGTTATTGCCCAAATATTCCAAAATATTCAAGTTTGTGGAAAAGAGAGCAAATTGAAGAGAGGTGAAAAGCGCTCCGGTTTCCAGGCCTGCTCACTATGCTGTGCCAGGGACAAGGGCACCATTTCCAGGCCGCAGTGCAGCACCGCAGCTCCCGAGGTCAACGACCTCCTCTCCATGCCTGCTGGACACGGGCTTTCCTGCCCTCGGCCCTTGATCTATGCTCACACTCCATCTGTTGGCCACAGGATCCCACCACCAAAACAAATGATGTCCACAAGAGGCAGGCAAGGATCCGCTCCCAAATACGCCACGCCCCAGTCCCCGGAGTTTATCGATATGTTACTTTACACACCAAAAAGGGACTTTGCAGAGGTGATTAAGGTTAGGGACCTTGAGCTAGGAACATTATCCTGGATTATTCAGGCACAATTTTATCCTGAGTCCTTGAAATCAGAGAACCTTTCCCTGCTGAGAGATCCATAGAGACGGCAGTGCGAGGACTCAGCCCGCTATTGCTGAATCCTGAAGCTGGAAAAGGCAGGGAAACAGACTCTCACCCAGAGCCTCCAGGAGGAAACACAGCCCTGCAGACACCCTGCTTTCAGCCCGTGAGACCTGTGTTGGACCCTGACCCACGGAACTGTATGATAACACATCTGTGTTGATTTATACACCACTATGTTTGCGGTAATTTGTTACAGCAGCCGTAGGAACGGAAGGACCACTTTCCCCTGATTCACAGAAAGAATTAAATCAGTGGATAAAATTAACTTTTTTCCTCTAACTTGCCCTTGAACCTTTGATATTGCTACTGCCCTGTCAGCTGGTGAAAGCTAGAGAGCAATGACAAGACAACCAGAGTGGTGTCCTGCTAGGAGCCCCTCCCATGCCTTCCAGATGTTCTGCCAAAAATCAAGTTTGAGAACCACTGACCCAACTACCACAAAGCCTCAGTGTGCAGTGGAAGGTGGTTGCTCTGTGCAGATGGTGGCTCTCCTGGCAGCTAAAACTGACTGTTCGTTCCCCAAAGTTCCTAACCTGCTCGGTGTCAGGGATACAAAAGCAGATGTGTCCCCACCATCAAGGAGCCCTCAGGGCGGTAAACACTAAGACATCAGGAAGTTCATGGTGACGGGGAAGCATGGGGAGAGTGAGCACCTACGCAGACACATCTTCTGCCAAATGACTGCAGCTTTACAATAACTACAGTGAGCAGGCTCCACAGGGTGAGCTGAATGGATTCAAGCACCGTCTTCCCAGGTGGTGGTTACCTGGATTTTCCTTCCCTAACGAGCCCACGGAGCTGAATACACTTTGCACACTCACCTGTTTCCACATCGTTGGCATTGGCCGAGTCCCTCAGCCTCTTCAGAGCTGTGACGAGAGTAAGAGAGTACCAGTTAATATATATTTATATATATATATATATATAAAACAGCAGCCGCCACAATGAAGCAGAAAGTGCACAGCTTCCTAGTTACCCCACCACTCAGCTACAGGAGCACCTAAAGAGAGAGGTGCCACTACCCCGGGAACAAGGAGAAACTTGGAACGCGGCACAACTAGAGCAAAAGCCACATTCTGTCGCACCTGCAGCAGCTGGGTGCCTTGAGCAGGTTAGCTAAGCTAGCTCAGGTCTATCGCTGGCAAAACAGGGCTGAGCTCCGTCCTGACCGCCATGAGTTGTTGCAAAGACAAAACGGGATGTTTACATGGCAGCTCTCTGTGAGCAGGTTACACAGATAATCTTATATTCTCATTTAAAATGGGCCAGTCCCAAAGGCCTTACTTAAATGTGGTCATTTCTCTACAATGACACTACCTCTACACTAGAGGCTAATTGAAAGCAATGCCTTTGTCATGAGAAAAATGGTCACACCCGGGAGGCACATCAGAGCAGAAGTCTGTCTGGCCGGCTGGGGTGGATACGTTCCTCGCGATGGGACTTGGAGGAAGGCGCTCTCTCTGAGCCAGTTTCCTCCTCCATAGAACGGGATCAGGATCTGGATCTCAGTGAGTTATTACCGTGAGGTTCAGAAATGCTCACACTGTTTGGCACACACAAGGGCAGATTCACAGCTATACATGCACTACCTTCCTCAGCTCTCCCCAAGATCTCTGTAAAGCAAGTACTGTACTCATTTTACAGATGAGAAAACGAAGGCTGAGAGGGTCTATAGTTTGCTTAAGGCAGAACGAAGTGGAGGAGTCCATCGAGGTCTGTGCATTAAAACCAGCGGGTAGGACTTGCCTACAGGCTCTGGCCTCCCCTCTCCCACAGTAAAAGTAAAAGTATTCCGCGGCGCCCCAGGTTATTATCTACTAGTAACCCCTGGAGGCGCGGGAAGTTTCTATTCAGGAATTAGCCAGTGTGGAAAGCCTGGGGTGACTGGTTCTGAGCAGGAAGGCTTTTTTTCCTTTACATTCATGGTCCACAGCAGTTATACGTAATAATTATTCCTACTGAAAGAAGACCCAGGGGTGTCCCT